ACTTCATCATAGATGTGTTAATGGACTTAACCCTAGGTGACTTCAGCGATTCAGGGATTGACTTGCTACCGGGGAATAATCTCGTTGACTTGGAATATGCAGACGATATAGTCCTTCTAGGCGAAGACGCTGACGAAATGCAGAGTCTTCTAAACACCTTGAGCAGCAATCTACGAATGTTTGGCATGCGATTCGCTCCCGCCAAATGCAAGATGATGTTACAGGACTGGACTACATCGACGCCTAGTTTAAAAATAGGAAGTGAAGTGGTAGAGCACGTTGACCGCTTCACTTATTTGGGAAGTACCATCAGCCCCAACGGGCTGATCTCTGACGAAATCTCAGCACGAATACAAGGGGCTCGTTTCGCATTTGTTAGTTTACGCCGACTCTGGCGTAGACGAGATGTTCGACTATCGACCAAAGGGCGGGTGTACTGCTCATCAGTCCGCTCCGTCCTCCTTTATGGTTGTGAGACCTGGCCACTGAGAGTGGAAGACATGAAAAGACTAGCTGTCTTTGATCATAGGTGCCTGCGTTCTATTTCCCGTGTAAAGTGGCATAATAAGGTGAGCAACATGGAGGTTAGGCGTAGAGTTCTAGGTAAACAGGGGAAATCAATCGACGAAGTCGTGAAGCTACAAAGACTGAGATGGTTAGGACATGTGTTACGTATGCCAAGCCATCGCCTCCCTCGACGAGCTATGTTAGCGGATATAGGGTCAGGCTGGAAAAAAGCTAGCGGCGGTCAAACAAAAACTTGGCATCAGTCAATGAAATCCACAACAGTTGGTCTAAGCCACGTAGGAAGGTGTAGACTTCCAGGCTGGGGTCCTCGGGACGGTAAAAATCTATGGTTGGAAACAATTGGTGACATGGCTCAAAATCGTTCTCAGTGGCGCAGATGCATCCACTCCCTGTGACTTATGATCTTCAATGAAACTGTTTTGTATTTCTTTATTACTCCTTTGTCTCACACCTCTGCTCACTGTTTCTATTATGCTTTTCTTGTACTTTCTTCTCTTGCTTCGCGTGCTACACGGAATGTGGCGACTTGAACTTCCGCACATTTGTGCAAAGTTCTATGTCGAAAACAGACAGACAGACAGATAAACTCCCACTACGTCAGTGTCTGATGTTATGCTTTCTAAAGTCGAAAATACAAGTGGTCATGGAAAGCAATCCAAACTGCCGTCCACAGGTAATAGAATGCAGCGAGAGATCAAAAACATTAAACCGTGTTTTTCCTGTGGAAAGTTACATCTACGAAGCACTTGCCGTTTTCGGGGTGCTAAGTGCCATAAATGTGGTAAAGTTGGACACATCAAGACTGTTCGAATACTTATGTTGCTCAACATTCTTATAATTCTCCCAAGCTGTCTAGTAAAATGGAGTCAATGTGTCTTTCAACCTTTCAAAATACTCAAGCTAATCCGATGAAAACCTCCACTACAAGTTCAGCAACTCAATCATCAACTGTTTTCAAAAATGTGGTAGCCGAGTTACAATGCGAACTGTCGAAAACACGAAAAGACCTGAATGAGATGAGAGAGCAACTGATTAAAATGGAGGAATTGTTGCATATACATAGACTGCGTCTGTTGGATGCAGAGCATACAAGTACCCGTGAAGGTCCTGCAAAACTTTTCAAATCTCGAATTCTCAAAAAGCATCTGATGTCCACGACTTCTAATATACATTATTACAGAGGGAATGATTATAGACCTTCTGCTGGAATCATACTACAAAACATGCTGAATCGAATGGTGAAGACATTAGACATCAGAGATCACTCAGTTCATAACAGACACCTGGACAAAGTAACAATAAATGAAGTAGGTCGTTCCGATTATAATTTGAATGATTCCGCTAATAATCCTGATTTTGTAGATAATTCAGAAATAAGTCCAGATAATACTGATGAAAATAATATCACAGAATCAGTTAGGTCGAAGCTATTTGCAAGCAAGCCGAGACATCGTTATAAATATGCTAGGAGACATTCGACGTGTGGCGGATGTGGTGATTGACAATTTCTATCTCTGTATTGTTTAAATACTTACTGTTGACTGTTGATATGTTTCTTATAGGAATTGCATAATAATTCCGCCAAATACAAATCCCTGAGTTCTGCCCTCTCTGTGTTTTCTTTGGATTATCGCAATTCGGTCATCTCGAAATACTAATATTACGATTACAATAAATTACTACAATTTTCCAAATTTCCATTATGAGTGATGAGCCATTCCCACTGCATGTGTTGTGAATAGATTCAATGAAGAATGCTCAGTAATCAACCTCTCTCTCTCCACTCACCTATATTACTTTCTAGAATTTTGACTTTGTCAAGCGTATTGTGTGGTAATACATACTGAGGTTTTTTCTTAATATCTTATCTTCTTGGATGGGGTTAAACATTCTAATATTAGCTAAATTCTTACGCTTCGATAATCTGACTTCCTCTGATCTACTAGTTTGACCTATGTAGTTGACCTAACTCACAGTCATTGCAAAGTATTATCTAAATGACATTATTTTGTCTAATTGGGTTAACCTACAGGGTCCTTAAATTTTCCTACAGAACTTGTCTTACCTGAGTGAGTTTGTAAGTTTAAATGAAACTTTAATTTCTGCTCTATTAAGAGTCGTACGTAGTGAGGGTCTCGTATTTCCCCTCCTCATATGGTAAAACTACTGAAGATTTCTTGTACTCCGTCTTATTTATGTTCTCATCATTAGTTTCATCGTAATTTTTATTGTGACCTTTCTTGATCTTCCTGATGAATTTTATACGATAGTTAGTTATTTACACCAACGCTGCTTCTGTCTGTTTTATTTTAATATTTGGGTCTCTATTTGTACTACTTAGTGCTATTGCTCGATTCATTGGACACTTAACTAGGCCTGCCTTTACACATATCAGATAGGTTGAATTGAAGTCTAAATATCTATTAGAATGCGTTGGTTGTTCTATAAACACTAGTGTGCAGTCTGCCTTCTCTTATTCGTTTTGTTTTACAATCTAACACAATGGCTTATTCTCCTCGTTTATTTTCCGATTCAAATGTGAATTTATGTGTGTCAAGAAGCTAGAGATACGTTCTGTTTTTGACACTGTGAAAGTGTCATCCATATATCTCGACCATATTTTTGGAGTGTGATTAAATGTGTCAAGAATAATATTTCCCCAGCTGTTCTCAGGGTTATCTGCCACGATAAGGGATATGCGTGATCCATCCCATTGCTGCACCTTCTGTTGTCTGTATATTTTACTCTGGAATTAAAAGATAGTAGGTGTGAGGCATATAGGAATTCCTAAAATAATTCCCTCAATGAGCGGTTTTCTTCTATGAAGCGAGCACAAAGAAATCAAATGGGTTTATACTAGCTCGTAAAAACGATATTGGATATTGGAGTGAGTTCAGTGAGTGAGTTCTTTGACACTGCCATACATCGCCAAGAAAATGATATTTTTCAGAAGTCAATTTACCGAAATCTGACGTGGAATGGACAATACTTAAATTCGAATAGTTTTTGTCCACAAAGCTATAAACGAGCATAAGTCAAGACTCTAGGAGAATATGCTTTCCAGAAGAACTAGTAGAAGCATTTACGTTTCTCGAAAAGGTGTTAAAATATACTGTTTACCCTCAAAGATTCATTAACAAATATGGAAGATGTGAAGGCTCAAAGATCAAACGAATCACAGCTGAAAAAGCTTTTCTTCATTCAACTAGATTTTGAAGGTGAAAAGATTGCAGCGACAGTCTACAGAAAACTGAGTACGTCACTACCAACAGTCAATCATGCAGTCAAGTTTGTTACTGTCTGTCGAACAACATGCTATTTGGTACAGTCACAAAACAACAGATACGCTTCTCATGCAAACTCCAACTGTGCACACAAATTTACGTGTATCTGCGGGAGCAGTTACATTGAGAGAACAGAAAGAAGAGCGCACCTCCGATTTCCCGAACATGCGCGTAAAAGCCTGCGTCTCAAGAAATAAGACTCTTATAATAACACTATTACCAGACATCTCCTCGATACAAGTCATAGGATGTAAATGGCGAAATCTTTCCAATAATCAATAGAAAAAGGAGCTCGATTCTCCTGAAGTTTGCCGAAGAAATTTCTATCAAACGCTTAAAACCAGATTTATGCGTTCAGAAGGAAGCAGTTATAAGTCTTGACTTGCCAACCCACTAACTGTATGTTCTATACTCTCTTTTTTCAGTTACGCAATCTTTCGACTTAGAAATCATCCCCCGCCTTTTATAATTTGTATTAATGCTTTTCTCTTGTTTTTATGTTTTGAGTTGAACTCAGTACATTGTTACCTAATTATTAGTCACTCAGCAACTTATTCATCTCTCGTCAATAAGATCATATCTGAAATTTATCTCCAACTACTGTCGTAGAACGCCTATATTAAGCCCAACTGTGCGCTTATCAACCTAATTCACGTAATCATGTTATACGCTTGCAGAAACCAATTCCACGTATGCTCGTTCAATATTTGCCATTGTATTATTAAATATCGCTTTGCGTTTCTTATATGACTATATATTTTAAGCAATTGTGGATTATTTGTGTTCTCCCCCCGCATTTAGAAATTTGATTTCGTTGACAGTGCACCTTTTCCAACTTTCACTAGTGCTTCTTTACACAACCCAGTACAGAGTTAGCACATAGTAGAACGTGAATACGCCGAAGTACTATGGTATCATAATCGGAATTATAATACGTGTACCATGCTGTTTCCCCAAGAAACAAGATTCATTGATGATTTACACATTTTGTGTAGTGGAAAGGTAGACGTGATGTCCATTCGGAGACGGATGATGACAGTGAGAAAAATCCATTGAAAAGAAGAATATATTTTAACTGCTAGAAACTGCATTACAAGAAGTGAGTGCATCAAATGAAAAGTGAGTGAGACATTATCATCATGAATATGATTCCCATCTAACTGGTGTCACAAAAGTTCAATACTACACCTAATAATGATAATCTTCATCGTCATCTTCATGATAACCATCTTCATGATCGTCATCTTCATCATCGCCGTCTTCGTCATCACCATCTTCATCATCATTATCATCATAATAATCGTCAACATGATCGTTCCCATTAGAATCGATGTGGATGGTATGTGTGTCAACTTTAGCGTTTCGAACTATTTTGTAATCAGGAATGATGAATTCTGCTGGACACAAGATTTGAAACTTAATTTCCCCCCTTAGTAATCGCTCATCTTTCACATAATCATCAGGATTAAATTCCTCTAGTTGGCTAGCGTATTCTGATGGACAGTTGACGAGTGATGACGCTTCATTGAAACAGAATACTACCTCGTGTAAGTAAACACTCCCGACCTACACAATGTGAAATGATCAATAAGAAAGAGAATCGTGTTAACTAGATAGTTACAAAAGCGAAGATTCGTCACTCGAAATGTGTCACCAACTTCAACCTACACTCATTTCTGAATTTCAAACACACAAGCTCGAAATAGATAAAACCTGATTCCTTCGACTGGTGCCAGATGCTACTGACGTGAATTCTGGTCGTGTTTGGCGAAATCAAGAGATTTGCAAATCCGATCGATTCACATCTATTCAACGACCTACACAGCATATATTATTTATGAACAGATGGAATAGATCGAAAGTATAGTGACATGATGAAATATTTGGAAATATATGTGCATAGGAAAGACATAACTCACCTCACTCTCTGCACAGATCAGCTTGGGTTGTACACCGAATGTCTTCAACAGCTCGCCTTCCACTTTTGCAGTCTACATGAATAAAGTGGATGAATGTAGTTTGTGAATTTGTGTGATTATTCAATCTTGAGTGCTCTTAATTAGGATGAATTTGTGTGATGGACAAATTGAATGTCAACTTACCGAATGAACCTTCTTCTCTAATATGCTATGAAGATTTTCGACGTTACTGAAATGAAGGGGATTGTGTGTTAATGGTCGAATGAGAAAAATAACATCAAGAAATATGTTTCTGCGTCTGTATTGTCTCGACGTAGAATGATAACACAGAAACTCCTTGACACATTCCTCGACCCAGTAGTTCAAGTGATGAATCGAATCTGAATCAGGACATTGACTCAATTATCCTGACCATGGTAATAACATCCTGTTTATCACCTACGTGTCTAGTCCAGTTCAGTCCCTACTTAGATCAGTCCACAACTGAGTGCAACATACAGTATACATGGTAATGAAGGTGATTATAGACACTGTGATTTTTCAGTGTAAGATCACTGTGAGGATGCACACTTTGTATCATGAGGAAACATAAGTGAATGTGAGCTGGCGTGAATGAGGACTCAAAATCCACACAATAAACTGATTACTATAAATCCAACAGTAATAATAATAACCACATTTAAAAAGAAACATGCGTCAACATACTTTGGTGTCATGAGTTGTTTGTAGAGATTAATACTATGATTGAAGTAGAGAATTGGAGTGGTTCCAGATTCATCCATAACTGTACAAGCTCCATAATCATAGTACACCCAGTAGCTGAAATATGAGATTTTTGTAAGAGAAATAATCAGAATGCACGAGAACAGCTTCAGTATTAGGAAATCCTGCCGCTGTTAGATTGTCACCGACCCCGCCAAAACCAACAAAAACAACAACAAACAAACAGGCAGATACACATGAAAACACACATGGTGTTCATCGACACTTTCGCTAACCATCCACGCACCTTCAGACTAACTGATTTCACTGCCCCGGAATCAGGATTTCGAAGTGTAGATGTGTCAAAAAGGCGATCTTTAATCCCTCAGATGAATCATTATAAGCAAGAGATCGCCAGCACATACACATGCACACGCACTGCTTTGCTCTGATTAGTGAAAAATCACAGTAAAGTCCATAGAATGCATAATTGTGTGAAAGGCAATAGCAAAAGTGAGAGGTGACTCACTGTGCTAATAATTCATCAGTTGGATTAGTCCAGTAGGTATTCAGATCAGGTATTCTATACTGAAGATGAAAAGAAAAGGCGAGAGAAAATCAAGGTGGAATGGTTAAATAACGCTTAGTGTGTGCTGTGTCAGCTGCTGTTTCACAAGTCCTGCCAGTGGTGCAAGTTATGCGAGTAAATGAAATGGTGCAAGATGGTTCTGTGCGAAGAAAGAATATTTTGAAAGCACAGCGTAAAATGTAAGTTTCGTCACTCACAATATCCTGCTCGAAGAAGTGGAGACCACTTGGACATGCGAAGTCAACCCAGTTAAAATGAGGTGATGCTCTGAAATTGTGAAATAAATCAATATTAGCACAAAAATTGTAGCAGATAATATTGATACACTGAAATCATCCTAGAGACAGTATCATCACTTCAGTCACACATCACTAAGCGATCATATGTGAAAGTGTACTTCGAACAAGTGTCCAACTAAATAACATGACATCATGCTATAACATCTTCAATCAGTTATCCCAGTTTCGTTGGAGAAAATTATTCGAAATCAGATCAATATAAAAATTACATAATGTATACCGTAAGGAACATTTGCAAGGATTGATTGTAGGGGTGATATTTAGGCGAACTTTACAGACCACTGTGTAATCATTCAGAAGCATCATTGCAGTGCAGCCACTCACATGTCCACTCACATTCATCTGTCTTCTTGTGATGGAGTGATTCGCCTTGCATTACACTGACTGCCTGAATGATCACACCAACTGTGCACATTGATCAATATCAAATGTGCATTGTCGTCATGACACAAGTTGGTTAGTGTCGACCAATTCATCTTGTAAGTGCTGATGATCATCTTCTCTACTCTGTCCATGTTCACATCCCTAAGTGAAGCACTGACACATTTAAGAGAATACATACAACTCATTCATCACATTTAGGGGAGCGCCACACCTCGATGATGTCGAAGAGGGTGTCAATGCACAAAAGACAAATGTACAGAAATCTCACCTCAATTTCGAAATATCCATAGTTATATTTTCTGAGACAGTACACTGTAAAACAAATTGAGATTTTCATTGTTCGATTCAAATTAATTTTACTGATGAGTACTGTCGACGTCAATCTGACATATGTGTGTGTGTTTGTAATGATTGTACCACGAGTGTTCACGTAACTCGACATCAGTTTGTCATGATACGCCTCACTCACTGACACAGATTGATGTTCCAGATATATGGTTATGGTTACAAAGAAGGAGTTGTGTGTCAAGTAGAATTCGACGAGTAATACTCGTTAACCAGGTGAATGGAAGGGACGTGATACATGCATATTTTGGGTTCCCTCCACAGCAATTCACGTCTGAACTCAGATGTTTGTATGTGTGATGTTGATTAAAGAATTCCAACCTCACTAAATGATTAACTGACGCACGAACATTCCTCAATTGAGCCTGATAGCTCACTCACTGACACGAAACCGTGTGACCACATATGTGACTGCATGCAAAGACTTATCGAGTAACTGAACAGTGTGCTTTTGTGATGTCTGCGACGCCAACAAACACACTGAAGACGCGCCTCCGTGAGGGAGAATAGTCGACGAATCCAAATGATGAAATGACAATAATAATAACAATCAACATGGTCACCACAAAAGTATGTGCCTATATAAACGTACATATCTGTTGAGACAGTGTGTTGGAAGCCAACGTAAATGAAGCATGTATGTCTTGGTGGCATTGGATTCAGCGAGTACTGTGTGGATACACACGAGAAGACTGAGAATGATGAATCTGTAAGGAAAGGAAGAGAATGAGAGAGGCATGCAGATTATGACTAGAGTGAGTGCTTCATTGCGATTTCCGAGCATTTTATGCTTGACGCAATGCTTAGAATACAAACGAATCAATAACTCTGCATGTCCAGTGACATACAAGGAGATGATGGATGACTCATTTATGAATACGAGAAATCACATGATCATGGTAACTCACTGCATGATGTAGACGTTCAAATCTGAGAGAAAAATAAACAGTCATTATTGGTTGCCGTAATAAGAATAAAATCATTGAGAAAACTAAATTCCTGTGCCGACTGTTAAATAGCTATTCATGTGTGTATTTGAGTGGATTGCATTGTAAATGTGGAATTAACTTCACCTTGGTTACTACAACAGACCGATTTGAACACAGTCAATGTTTCAGTAAGGCACATAATCGAGTCCCTTGTGTGTGTCCTTTCAGTCGATGTATTCAGTTGAGTGCATATCACACATCATGTCCATGTTGAATTAACTGTGTGCATATTGTGAGTGAATGTCATACGGGATATCACATTCAACAGTGTGTATTCTCATCGTCAACACCACTTGAAAGTGAAACGACCACACATGCATCTCACCGACTATCTTTGACTATGTAGGACAAATCAATCAGTGAGAAATCTCCTTCCTCAAATGAGAAGATATAATACGACTGAATATCAGTGTCTTGTTGTTCACATACAGAATAGTGCATCATGATAACAGCAAATAATATTCAAAACATCGTGGACTTACCTAAACAGAGATGTGGTCTACCCGTCTGCTCAAAACAATGAGTTGTCTGTGTGAATAGCCAGTCTATTTATACCTGATTCATCTGAAGTCTCTCAAATACAATTAGTGTTTTGCAAATTAATTTGGCACACGGATTATGAAAACAAGAAACTAATGAAGTGCAGTACCATTCAATGGAATGTGAGGTGAGGTGACCTGAAGTGAAAGTATGCGGTCAAGATGATTTTGTTTTTCATTCTGTTTTAGAATATTGCTAAATGATAATTAGTGTAAGAGTGAGTTGCTCTCATCATTTGTCTCTGTGTAATTTATCGTCAACTAGACGTTAGAGAAATGCGGTAGATGGAGATCTCTTGTCTACTGAAACTCTGTGTCAAGTAGAAAACTCCTCCTCTCTTTATGTTGGGTTCTCAGAGTACAGTTTAACCATGGAGTTACATAGATCAGGATTATGTAGAGTAAATCCAAGATTTTTTTCCGCATTATGAATATATGCCGAACATAGTGTATATTTGTGATATTATTCGACTCATCGAAAATCGATTCACATGTGACTTTATATTTACTGTCTGTGTCCACAGTATGTGTCTGAAGGTTGACAGGTTCAGACAATAGTATGAGATTTCATACATTTATTCCCCTTAATGAATTTGAACAATGCAAGAACTACAGTTTTAGCAGAATAAAATGGTACCATCTTTTATTTCGTTGCCTTCTCGTCAGCTGCTTACATGGCAAAGACATTATTAAGTATATCTACAACAACAATTTTAACATACTTGCACAGAGTTCAGTTTAAACAAAAAATCAATCGATCAATATACTCATACACTAAAAATATATACATATATAAATAT